GCCCGGCTGATTTTTTGATTTATTGTAGAGATGAGGTCTCGCTGCCCAGGCGGGTCTCGAACCTGCGGGCTCAGGCAATCCACTCCCCTCAGCCAGAACGGGAACTCTTTATCTTGGCCGGCCCACTCAGCAGGATCCCAGCTGGGGTGAGATGCTAGGTCGCGGGCCGCCTGGGAGGGAGCGGAAGTGGATGGAGCCCCGGCGGGGCGGAGCCGGAGTGGGGGGCTGGGGCGGGGACGCTGCGGATGGCATGTGCTCGGCTGGAGCACCGTAGCCGCTAGTCCCCGGGAAACCCTGCCCCTCTGGGTCGCCGTCCTCCTCGTGCGTCCAGGTGAGTAGGGTGGCGGCGGGGAGTTGCGTTAGTGGCGGCGCAGGCTGGCGTAGGGTGTTTGTCCGTGCTCCTCTGCCCCTTCCGCAGACGGGGGAGGCACTGCGCCCCAATCTTGGAGGCGCTTCTAACCTCTGGGGGTTTGCGGGGAAACCTGGATTCGGCAGGTGTGGTCTGGTATCCTGTCCACTCCGGGCACGTTGGGGCCTTGGCGCCGAGGAGAGACCCCTGGCACGTATTGAGAGTCAGTATCCCAGCATCGGGCAAGGCGGCCCCAACTGATGGGATCATTTCTGAGCACATAAGCCCGTTCAGTGGTTGTTACTGTAAACCTCTGCTGTGCCACGCAAAGGTGAGCAAAAGTCTGCGTTCCTGCCCGCGAGAAGCTTCAGTGCTGGGGTGCGAAAGCTGGGCGCTCTGTGGCAAACTAGGCCGGGGCCAGGAGCGCCCACCAGGAGTTCTCGGTCTGGACGGCAGCGGTAGGGCAGTGGCTGAAAAGGATCCTTGAAGGCCGGAGCAGGGACCCGAGGGCTGCTTAAGAGAGGCGAGTGCGGGAGGGCTATTTTCCTTGGCAGAGAGTGAAAAACTCACGCGGCAGGAGTTCCGACCGGGGCTGGGGACGTCGAGGGCGAATGCCACGGGGCCAGGCAGGTGTGTTGGGCATTCCAGTCGTTCTCAAAATTTCTGTGGGAAACTACTAAAGGGTTTCGAGTTGGAGAGAGATTGGGTGCATTCAAAGGACTGGAAGATGGCGACACATTCCCTCGGGGGATTTACATTCTGGAAGAGTGGGACAGATAAGCCCACATGCGACCTCAAGCCCTGACAGCGAAATCTGATGAGTTAACCCAGCCTCTTTCCACCTTCTAGCCGGGTTGGGCTCTGGGACATGTGGAGGAAGGAAGTTCCATGGGAGGTAAATGTGCCCGGGGAGAGGGGAGGGATGGGAGAAGCAGCTTCCAGGGATTCAATCCCTATGAGGGTTAGAACCCGCAGCAACGACCTCATCCTGCTACCAGCAAGTGCCATCCAGAGGACTGAAGACAGCAGAGGCTCTTCCCTGTTGGAGAATTGGAAGGCCAGGTCCTTGAGGGCACTGTTATTGAGGCTGTTTGAAGTGTGGTTGGATGGAAAGTGCAAGAATAGGCCTAGATCTGCACACTCACAAAATGGATGTGAATGGTTTCGAAAGGAAGGGAAGAGAGGAGAGAGAGAGAAGAAAGAGGGAGAGACAGGGAGGAAGGAAGGAAATCAAATTCATATCCCAGGAATATAGCTTACATGGCAACTTTCTAGGGACCCAATTACAATGAATTCTGTTCCTCAAATGCCTTTTTCCTTGCTGGTATTTTCAAATCCACTGCCCTTTCCAAAAAGTGAAAGATATAAAAGTTAACAGATTTTTATCTCTTTTTTTTTTTTCTTTTTTTTAATTTTCTTTTTATTTGAGTTGGAGTCTCACTCTGTCTCCCAGGTTGCAGTGCAGTACAAGCACACTTACAACCACCATAGCCACTACCTGCTAGGCTCAGGCCATCCTTCCGCCTCAGCCTTCCAAGTAGCTGGAACTACAGGTGTGTGCCACCATGCCCGGCTAATTTTTTAATTTATTTTAGAGATGAGATCTCACCAAGTTGCCCAGGCTGAGGAAACCCATGGGCTCAGGCAATCCTTTTATCTCAGTCTCCCAAAGTGTCTTCTGCCCCCCCCCCCCACATTATTTATTTTTGTCTTTATTCTTTTCTATCTCCAGGGAGGGGAGATGTGGAGGATGAGGGGCTGCCGGCAGGAAGAGGCGAGGCTGACTTTCAGCCATATTTGCATCAGAGAGGAGACTTCCAACTGACAGTGAGCAGGGAACTTGAATACTGGGCTTATCAGGAGCCTTGCTGTGTTGTTACAGTATTACTCTTTTCAAGGATCTATCTATATATTAGTTCCCCTAATTCACAGGAGGATACATCCAAGACTCCCTGTGGATGCCTGAAATCACCAATAGTAATAAATTGTACATATGCCGTTTTTTTCTATACATACCTATGATAAAGTTTAATTTACAAATTAGGTACAGTAAGAGATTAACAACAGCCAGGTGCGGTGGCTCAAGCCTGTAATCTTAGCACTTTGGGAGGCCAAGGCGAGAGGAGTGCCTGAGCCTGCGGGTTCGAGACCAGCCTGAGCAACATGGTGAGACCTTGTCTCTACAATAAATAAAAAAAAATTAGCCAGACATGGTAGCATGCGCCTGTAGTTCTGGCTACTTGGAAGGCTGAGGGGGGAAGGATCACTGGAGCCCAGCAGGCTCTTGTTGGGGTGACTATGAGCATCACTCCAGCCTGGGTGACGGAGTGGGATTCTAACTAAAAAAATAAAAAGAGATTAACAACAATAATAAGGTAGAACAATTATAGCAACATTTTTTTTTTTTTTTTTTTTT